AAATTATAAGAAACATATTTCTTGTAATAGGTTGTTTTCTTTTGTTTGGTTATTTCTTAAAAATAAGAAAATAGATGAGATGAGATAAGTTGTCATTATATTATTGGATGATGTGACTTACACTTAAGGAAATTGTTTTCCTAGCTTTTTGGGAGGAAAACAAAGAAATGAAATGTTAATGAGATGAGATGAGTTGTCACAATCTTATTGGATGATGTGAGTAATTTTAAAATATGAGATGATATGAGTTGAGTGATGTTGTGGATGAAAATAATATTTTATTAGATGTGGTGGATGAGTTGTTGGATGAAAATAATATTTTATTAGATATGATGGATGAGTTGTTAGATAAAAATAATATTTTATTAGATGTTGTGGGTGAGTTTTAGGGATGGAAATATGTGAAATTATACTTTTTGAGATTTCTTGGTTTTCATTTCTATTTTTTGGTTTTTTGGGAAATAACCAAACAGTTAGAGGAAATGGGTGGAGATGAAATGGAGATGAGATGAGATGAGTTGTCACAATATTATTGGATGATGTGGGTGATTTTTAAAGATGAGATGGGATGGAGATGAGATGAGTTGGATGATGTGACCCGTTTCTTTTATTTGGTTTATTTTATTGGATGATATGAGATGAGTTGTTGGATGAAAATAATATTTTATTGGATGATGTGGATGAGTTGTTGGATGAAAATAATATTTTATTAGATGTTGTGTGTAAGTTTTAGGGATGGAAATGGTGGAAATTGAAATTTTGGAGATTTCCAAGCTCCAATTTCCTATTCTTGAGATTTCCTATTCCAAGCTCCATTTTAGTAATCATTGGAAATGGTAAGAAGATGAATTGATTAACCCGTACTTGTGTGCTTTGCTTAAGCTTTTTAAATTGAGCGTTATTAGATTTCTAAAATGTGTCCTTAATTAGTTTGATTCAAATCCATCTTGATATTGGAGAAAATAAATAAAATGATGAGGTAGAATTTTTGCATAATAGGAAAAAACAGATGCAAGTTTTAAGATCTTTATATTTCGTAATTAGAAGATTGATGTTCTGTGCATAAGACCATACATGTTCCATACTATAGCAGAAAGGTAGATTTAAAATTTTTCCGATACACCCAATTTTCTGGAAAGGCTCCTTAATTAGGAAGATGTCTTACATCTGTTAGAATTAGGGTGAAGCCCAAACCTGCAGGCGCCAAGCCAGTGAGCACACCCTTGGCCAGCCATTTTCGTCTATTGAATGATCAGTCTCCTCAGTCAGAAGAAGAGAAAGATGTTAGACCCTAGAGGGGGGGTGATTAGGGTCTTATGATAATCTAATCCGATTTTATGCCAATTAAAATTAATTAACAAGTTATCCTAGCAAGTACGAAATACAACAAAAATATAAGCTAGGATAAGCAATATGAATAATGAGATATATCCTATATGATGAAATATATATGCAAGGATATATATAAACTAATACAAGGGGAAACAATAAACTAAACAAGATAGTGGATGAAATAAATGAGCAATGCACAAATGGCGATATAAGATAAATGCAAAAGCAAATACGCCAAAGACAAACTCAAACAAACAATATGATCACGGAGTTCGGACCTTCCGTCCTACGTCTCTGCTCCCCTCTCCAGGGGAGAAATCCACTATCACAATCGGGTTTTCTACGCTCACCCGAATAACGTTTACACCTCACAATATCGGTTTTCAACGCTCACCGATCAACGTTCACTCCTCACACTCGGTTTTATAGTTCACCAAAAACTCCACAACATACTCGGTTTTCTAGCTCACCGAAAACCTTACACCACTCACAATGTAACAAGTATAAATTTGTTCTCTACAATAGATGAGAACTCAATTAAGCACAACTCAATGTTACAATCTCTCACAACCCTAATATACTATGTTTGTAAATACAATAAGCTCAAGTGGGTGTGTGTAACAATGAGATAATATGATCAAATCTAAACTCAATATAAAAAACTAGCTTTAAAGAATGATAATCAAATAACTAAGCAAATGTAAAGCTAGATAGAGTTTAGAAAACTTCTCCAATAGATGACAAGATGGAGAGATGGAGATTGAAGCCCAAACAAGAAGGTGATCTCCTCCACTTGTTAAAACTTCTTCATAAATCAAACACTCAAATGCTTAAAAGCTTATAAACACACTTAAACCAACTTAAACCCTTGATTAAAACTCTTTAAAACATTTCTTGCTTACTTTATAAAAACTGAGGTAAGGGGGTATTTATATGAAACCCCAAAGGTAAAAGAAAGCCAAGAAAAAGACTAAAAAACCACTCTGCAACGGCTCTAAAAATAGCCGTTGGAACTGAGTTGACAGTGCGACGGTCGACTGCTGCGGTCGACCGCGAGCAAAGAAAAACACGAAAACAACTCTGGACAAGCGACGGTCGACCGCGAAAGTCTCTGGACTCGCTACGGGCGACCGCCACCATAAAAACATATTCTGAGTTCTGAACTCATGGCGGTCGACCGTGGCGGTCGACCGCGAACAGATACTTCAGAATGACAGGTTTAAAAGCATATTTTGAGACTTTTGGAAAACTGTTAAAAATAACAAATGAAGTCCAAAATTAATGAAACTTTGGGAAATGTATATGCACATGTAAATGAACATGTTACAAAAAGAATTTTTCAAATTGCATTTTCCATTTGTGAAAAATCATCATTTTACAAAAATAGTCCAAAACACGAAAATGTAAACATGTGAATTTTGACATTTTGGCTAAACCATGTTTTGAAACTTTGCACAATGATTATGTAGACTTAATAAAATATGTATATGATTATTGTTAAGTCCAAAATCTAAGAATACAATATTTTTACAAAATTACATATTCTATGCAATATATCTAAAACACAATAATAAATATGAAACATGTGATTTCATATTTATAAACATGAAAACTCAAAAACTATGTATGTATATATATAACTATATATATGCATAGAAACCAAAACTTATGTATATATATATGACTATATATATATATACAAGGAAACCAATAAAATGTGTGTGTATATGATATTGAGCTTAATGTACTTAACACACATAATATAAATCCTAAACTAGTTACCAAGCCGATCTTGATCTTCAATAAGCTTGACTTGGTACACTATGCGGATGAAGCTAGAACTTGGATCTTAAACTTCAATTGTACGATGCTTCACTCCACAATTCCGCCAACCTCCATTTGATATGATCGTTATGGCGCAATCCATCCATCCTCCAACTACGTTGTTTATCTATAATAAATAAAAAAACACAAATACTAGACAAATAACATTAGTGGTAAATTGTTTGTTAAACATCATCAAAATAAGAAGGCCGACAAAAGAGAGTATGACTCAGGTCCCTTACGCCTCAGCTATCGGAAGTTTGATGTACGCAATGGTCTGTACGAGACCAGACATTGGCCATGTAGTAGGAGTGGTCAGCCGGTTTATGTCGAATCCAGGAAAAGCTGATTGGGAAGCAGTCAAGTGGATTCTAAGGTATCTACGAGGTACCACACAGAAGTGTTTGTACTTTAGTAAGGGAGAGGTAGAAGTGCAAGGGTACGTAGATGCAGACTTTGGAGGTGAGGTCGATCAACGAAGAAGCACCACCAGCTATGTATTCACTGTCGAAACTACAGCTGTTAGTTGGATGTCACAGATACAGAAGATTGTCACTCTGTCCACTACAGAAGTTGAGTATGTTGCAGTGACTGAAGCTAGTAAAGAGATGATATGGCTTCAGGGTTTATTAACAGAGCTGAGATTCAATCAGGAGAAGAATGTTTTACATAGCGATAGTCAGAGTGCGATTCACTTGGCTAAGAATTTCGTATTTCATTCTAGAACGAAGTATATTGCGCTTTGGTACCACTTCATCAGATCCCTGCTAGAAGATGACGTGTTGAAACTGGAGAAGATTCCAGGAAGTAAGAATCCAGCAAATATGTTAACAAATATGGTGATCGTTCAGAAACTAGAGTTGTGTGCAACTTCAGTTGGCCTTCATGCATAGATGATGAGGGTGGAGCCACAGAGGAGGAGGAGCTTGTTGAGATAGCCTACTGATGTCGGTTTGGTTTCCAAGTGGGAGATTGGTAGAATTGGGGTGAAGCCCAAACCTGCAGGCGGAGCTCGAGATCCAGGCGAGATCTCGATGAAGAGGAGCAAGCGAGATTGATCTCGTGGTGGCTTCAGGCGAAATCGAGGGGACGACGCAAGCGAGCTGAAGGCGAGCTCAAGATCAAGAGTTGTAGGCGATCTCGTGAGCGGGCGAGGTCGTTGCAGGCGAGCTCGAGTTGGCGATCTACAGGCGGACTCGTGCAGGCAAGTTTGGGCGTTTTGGCCTGGCAAACTCGAGCAGCGCGAGTTCGAGTTGGCGGGGTCGTGGCTCGCCGCAGGCGAGGTTGGGCACCGTTTGGCTGTCGCCAGCTCATTGGCGTTCCCTATAAAAGGAACACGAAACCCTAGCCCCCCCCCCCCTTTTTTTGTAGAGTGCTTTTCCCTCTCTCTCTCTCTCTCTTCGATTCCAGGCGGCGGCTCTCTCTCCCTCTTCTCTTCAGCGATCTCTCTCTTTCTCTCTGTTCTCCTGTTCTCACGTGATTGAGAAAGGAATTTAAAGGAGGAATTTATTGTAGAGGGGTATTAAAGAAGAGGGGAATATTTACTGTAGCTACAATGAAAGATTGTATTTATTGAGGAATCTCAAGTTTGAGATTTGCTCTTGGATTGTAATTTCTTGTTAGATTAATAAAAAATTTACTGTGTGGCTCCCGAGGACGTAGGCAGTTGCCGAACCTCGTTAAACTTGGTGTAATTTTTCTATTCTGCGTTTCTACTGTCTTAGAGATTTCGGCGGTAAAATCCCAACAACATCTGTTATATTGATTCAAGAAAAATATCTGATTCATGAGCTCCTGATATTTTGTTGCAGACAGTTCATATGTACGTATACAGAAAAGCTCACCTTATACGCTTCAATAAGAGGAAGATCCAGGATCGCAGGATTATTCACATTAATGGCCCCAATAGACTCATGAAGTCCAAGACTCTGAAAAGACTGACGAACAGTCATCGACACCAAGGAGTCATCAGTAACAAGAAACAGCGGCCAAGTGAACCTAACACAGTTAAATCCCATCGAAGCAATGCTCTTAGAGATGGTATTCAAAGGTTGCTTTCCAAGCCCCTCGGCCAAGACGGGCTCCAAATGTGCCACCCAATTGATGCATGCGAGCTTCACTCGTCGTCCTGACTTGTTGACGATCCATCGACCATTTGTTGAGAGAGGAAGAGCTTTGGTTGGTTGTGGGAGATGAAGAAGCGCTGTTGAGAGGAGGGAGACTTGGAGAACGAAGATGGAGAGTCTCATGGTTTTGTGAGCTCCGTACAAGGAGTCTGAGGTACGTAGTTATAACTATGGGACGTATGTACAAGTAGTAACGGGCTTTCGACCTATGAAGAGAGAGGTAATGAGTGTGACAGCGAAGATATGCAAGAGAGGAAGATTGATTAAAGAGAAAGTGGCACGAAAGAAAATTGTTATGATGAGGGGAAGGTTTTTTTAGTACATTTTCCTTTTTCTTTTCTTCTTCCCTTTTAATGGATGAGGGGAAAGTGGCTTGTTTTTCTGATCTTTTTCCGTTAGTGGATGACAAACACCTTTGAATATTACCATTGCTGAGTCACTGTTAAGCCGTTTATCCTTCGACTTCTGTATAAAATTGTGCGATACCTTACATGCTTCCAAATTTGTGCGAGTTATGCTGTCCCTCGGCTCTAATTAAGTTTCCATCCGGTGCGTTGGCACCTTGCCTATGCAATTGACTCGGTTCAATGAATAAACAAACGCTCATATAAATTTTGACACGTTTCGAGCTAAAATGTGTTGGTGATAGTAGAAAATGATAAATAAACATGTATCTAAGGTTTCATAGATAGTGTGGAGAAATCAGAAAAATCAGATTTTCTGTCATAAGTCGACTCATGCACAAGGCTAAGTCGACTTATGGTAAGTCGACTTGTCAGTGTGCACAAGTCGACTTACGATCTGCACTAGAGTTGTATTTTTTTTCTCTGCCAAGTCGACTTATCAGGCCTGATAAGTCGACTTATGAAGTGGTCTCCAGTTGCTGTTTTTCTCTCTGCCAAGTCAACTTGTGGTGACTGTTAAGTCGACTTACGACGGGTATTTTGCATAATCAGGTTTCCTGTTTGCACTTTGATTGGGTTTTTGTTTTGATATAAATAGGGAAACGATTTGTTAGGGTTTTTTATCAGAGATTGAGAAATCTTTTGAGCATTGTGAGAGGGAGATATTGTGAGCAAGGTGAGATCTTTGGTTGAGGGTTAGTTTGAGAGTTTTGTGTGATTGTAACCCTTTGTACTCTCCTTGAATTAGTGAAATCTCCCTATCCTCTCCCCGTGGACGTAGGCAAGTTGACGAACCACGTATATCTCTGTGTTTGGTTTGATTTGTCGTAATTGGCTTGATTTGTGCAAGAGTGTGGCTTTCTTCTTCCATGATCACAAGTTCGTTGTGTGTGCGTGCAACGCTTCCACCTAGACGCGCGACAAGTGGTATCGGAGCTCAGATTTCAGATCTGGGGTTTTGGATTAGGTGGAGGAAGATTCAGTTGGAAGCTTGGTTCTTGGAGTTCTAGGCTTTGGTGGAGTTAGGGTTTGAAGTTGTCGTTGAAGATCTCGCTTTCCTCGTGTGGTTAGGAGTTCTAATTAGAATCCAATCTAGGGTTCAGTTGGGTAATTTCTTATTCTTTTCAAAGTTTGGATCTTTCTCTACAATTTGGAATTTGTGATTATGGGTGAAGAAGTTGGTGAAAGCAGCAAGATGACAGGCACAGCTCAAGTGGGTTTTCAGAACACTAAGATTAGTGTAGTAAAATATGACGGTAAGATCAATTTTGGTTTGTGGATGAACGACGTACATGATACGCTCAATGCTCAAAATCTGGAGGAGACCATCACGGTCGATGTGAGGCCACCTAAATATGAAGAGGTGATATGGGAAAAGATGAATCGAAATGCTTGCGGGGTGATCAGGTCCTGTTTGGAACAGGAGCTGAAATACGATGTGATTGGAGTGACGTCTGCAATGAAGATGTGGGAGATTCTCAACAACAAGTATCTCACGAAGAGTGTTGAGAACAGGTTGCACTTGTTGCGAAGATTATTTAGATTTCAGATGTCCAGAGGCACCTCGCTTGCGGCTCATGTGAAAAACTACACTAAGTTGTTGTCGAACTTGGCGAACGTGGATGAGAAGATCACAGATGAGTACAAGGCTATTATTCTTTTTGGCTCCTTACCGGATGAGGAGTATGATACCTTCGTGCTTACGTTACTGAACGGGAGATCTTCTATCACTTATAGTGAAGTGACTAACGCATTGACGAACTATGATTTGAGGAGGAAGGATAAGGAGACTTCCCGCGCTAGTATTTCAGGAGAGGCCTTGTCGACGAGAGGTAGAAGCTCATATCAGAAAGGTGGAAATAAAGGGAGGTCAAAGTCAAGAGGTCGTCACCAGCTTGGAAAGAATCAATGTGCATTCTGCAAAGAGCAGGGACATTGGAAGAGAGAGTGCCCGAAAGTCAAAGAAAATGAGAATAGCAAGAATAAGGGCACGAAGGCCAATGAGGTGAATGTTGCAAAAGGCGATGATTCCGATGATTCGAGCTTTTCTCTTTTGATTACTCCGGAGGTGAACCATTTGGATACATCAGAGTGGATGCTTGATTCTGGTGCTACTTATCATGTGACTCCTAGAGGAGATTGGTTTTCATCATTTGAGAGACTCGATGGGGGTGTTGATGTCATGGAAAATGATCAATCCTGTAGCGTTTGTGGGATAGGTACTATGAGGATTCAGATGCACGATGGAGTAGTCTGTGAGTTGAAGGAGGTGAGATTCGTTCCTCAACTTAAGAAGAATCTTATCTCAGTTGGGGCTTTGGAGGCGAAGGGATTCAGGGTGACCTTTGAGGATGCTGTAGCGAAGGTTACTAAGGGATCTTTGGTGGTGATGAAGGGAGTCCGTAGTCATAATTGATACTATCTGAAGGGGAGCACCAAGATTGGCCAGGTTTCTTCGGCTATTTCAGAGGCGGACATGAGCAGACTTTGGCATTACAGGTTAGGGCACACAGGAGAGAAGTCACTGCAGGCTTTGTGCAAGCAGGGGCTACTGAAGGGAGCTAAGAGTGGAAAGATTAAGTTCTGTGAGCACTATGTTCTTGGTAAGAAGACGAAGGTGAAGTTCGGGATGACCATTCATAGGATGAGGGGCATCTTGGACTATGTGCACACAGATGTTTGGGGTCCCACCAAGACGGCATCACTTGGTGGTCGACATTGGTTCGTCACATTTGTTGATGACTATTCTAGGCGTTGTTGGGTGTACACCATGAAGCATAAGAGTGAAGTCCTAGATTTGTTTGTGGAGTGGAAGAAGAGATTAGAACTACAGACTGGGAGAAAGATCAAGACGTTGCGATCCGACAACGGCGGCGAGTATACTTCAGACCCCTTTCAGCAGCTATGTCGAGATGAGGACATAGAGAGGCATTTCACAGTTAGTCATACACCACAGCAGAATGGGGTGGCGGAGAGATTGAATCGGTCTTTGCTGGAGAAGATTCGATATTTATTGGCGCATAGTGGTTTGAAAAAGATCTTTTGGGCTGAGGCATTTTCTTATGCGAGCCACCTCATTAATAGGCTGCCTTCATCTGCGATTGAGGGGAAGACTCCTATGGAGATATGGTCGGGAGTGACAGCACATGACTATGACCAGTTTAAGGTATTTGGTTGCCCTGCATATTATCATGTTAAAACTGATAAGTTGGAACCTCGAGCTAGGAAGGCCATATTTGTAGGATTCAAGCGTGGTGTCAAGAGATATAAGCTTTGGGATCTAGTTGATAAGAAGATTGTGTTGAGTAGGGACGTCACATTCGATGAGGCTTCTATCTTGAAGCTTCCCAGCTCTCATCAGGTGGAGAGCGACCCGACAGAGGAGATATCGCAGGTGGTGGAGATTGATGCAGCTCCACAGAGTCCAGATAATGCAGTATCTATTAGAGTGCCGACTGAGGTGATGCCAGGTGAGCACGACGGTGATGCGGAGGATACGGGTACTCATGAGCAAGATCAGGGACCGACGGCTCAGGTTTAGGATTCTATTACGGTACGGAGACAGATGAGAGACATACGGGTGCCAGCACGATAGATTACTCCGACTGTCAAAATGACGAGTTGTACTATCGTGCTAGGGGTACGAATAGAACCAGGAAGAGGAGTCCCCGAGAACAGGAAATTCAATGTCCCTGTTCCAAACTCATTCGGGCGGTATTGTCGGAATGCAATTGCATTAAGGCGGTCCCCGAAAGAGTTTCAGTTTTTGAAAGACTTAATGCGGAAACGCCAAAACCAAGGCCTAGGCGCTTCCAACGAAGAAGAAGGGTGATTGAAGACGGAGAATTTCCGAGGGTCACCACCAACATGACGAGCAAAGGGACATCGGCACGAGAAGATTTCGAGTCGATTCTGAAAGCTTCCCGACCTAGAACCCGTCTGCAGTCCGGAACCATAGAGCGAGCAACTTATGGTAGGATTCGGACAAGACGCCCTTCAGAAGATGAAGAATCTGATGCCGGCTCCGCGGTGGCATCAGATAATACAGTATCCAGCGAGGGACAACCCCGCGAGGCCCTGATGATAAGTGCGGAGCAGATGGCCAAGATGCTTGAAGACGCTTTGGCTAAGCAGAAAGAAAGTTTCAAATTTGAGATGGAGATGGCCATGCAGCAGATGAGAGAAATGCATGACCAACAAATCCAAGCATTGGCGAACCAACAAGGCGAGCAGAATCATCGTAACCCGGTTAATCTGGAAGATGAGGACACAAATGCTCGTAATACCAATGATCCTCCCGTCAACGCAGGGGGTGGTAATGAGAATGCTGGCGAAGAAACCGGCGAAAACCTGAAGATCAAGAACCTCGAGAGCAAAATCAACACACTAATTTCCGCTCAAGAGACGAAGAAAACAGGCATTCCTTGCCCATACCCAAGAGAATGGGAATCGATCCCATATCCGGCGAAGTTTAATCTAATTAACTTCACGCCGTTTAATGGGATGGGTTCACCTACCCAGCATTTGATTTACTTCAAATCGCATTTGGGGGTGATCTCTGGTAATGAGCCTCTGATGGTGCGGTCATTCGTCGGCACTCTTCGCGGAGCCGCCTTCGATTGGTATCGCCGCCTCAAGCCAGGCAGCGTAAACAGCTGGGATGACATGGAGACCAAGTTCCTGGCCAACTTCTTCGACGACGACACCGAGATATCTATCGGATCGTTGCTCGATGAGAAGCAGAAGGACGGAGAGTTAGTCGATACCTTCGTCAAAAG